CCCCCCCCCCCCCCCCCCCCCAAAAAAAAATAGAAATTGCTCCAGGGGTGCTGGATGCGCAGCTGACCATGTGCTCAGACAGAAAGCTTCACACCCACCTCTTTATGTGTTTATAAAGGCAATTAAGGTGGGATATGCATTTGTACCTGTACAAATGGTAAATAAAAGCTTTATTTCCAGATCAGACAGCTACATACTCACAGGAATACAGCTATAATGAATGGCTAGATCCTTTAGGTCTTTGGTGGTGCAGCATCATCACTGCACCAAACAAGCATCCAACCTCCACTGCCATCAAAATAAAAAACATACCATGTCTCTGGACATTTTTTATATTAGTCCAACTGAATTCTCATAGTGTCATTCATAATTTCCCCCAACTACTGAATATGCCCAAGGGCTACAGAAAACATGTATAATGGGCTGTTTAATTACAGTGTTACTTCCTTTTAATTACAGAGCAGTGCACGATGTGCTGAATTCAATTTGAAAGTCAAACATTATACTGTCACACACCCACGTAAACAAACCTTTTTGCATCTCAATAGAAAAATTTAAAAAAAAAAACACTTTCATCATCATAAGCTATAACTGACATTGCAATTTATACAATGATAAAGATATGTCACTCCGAGGGTAGGCCTCCATTGTCCAGCTGTATGCAAACAGGATGAGTGCGCCCCCTAGTCCCAATCTGAGGTACACATGTCTCTTTGTTCCACCACACTGTGCCCCATTGACTGAATTGCATTTACATTTATTTCACAGACACATTTATTCAAAGCCATGTACAATTGAGAAGGCAGGATCAGACAGACCCTGAAACAAATGGAGGGTTAAGGGCCTTTCTCAAGGGCCCAATGGTGAAATCACTCTGCCGACACTGGGATTTGAACCGGTGACCTTCCTAACCTGCTGAACCACATACCACCCTGCTACTCAAGTGAAATCCCGGCTGCACTTCCTGCCTTGTGCCATGCAGGTCCATCTCCACGGCTACAGCGCAAGGTGACAGCTTTCAAAACACTCACACCATCAAGTGTCTATAGATAAAGCTCTTTAAGCAAAAAAAAAAAAACAAATTCCCTGTACTTACATGCCCAAATAGCATAAATATGACTGAGCATGTATACCGAATATACAGCTCTAGCTTCTGAAGTTATCATCAGATGCCGGTGAATTTTCTTCAAGCCCTTGGATCTGTAAGGAGGAGACGCTGTAAACACATATGAGTAAGATGAATGTCAGTTTTCAGGGATCATGGAAATATGAGGAGATAACTGTGATATATTTCCCTTATTATGTATGAAGTGTTGCTTTAAAATTGGCCCATAAACGATGCTTGGCTGGTCTAGCAAACACATTCTCTGAAACATGTGACACGCCCTCGCAGGCTGGGCGCGGAAGGCTTCTTCTGAGAGGTTCTGCTGGCACTGATAGGAAAAAAGAGGGAAAGCTGCGGGGGTTGAAGTTAGCTGCATGCAAGTCCCATGGTCCTACTTGACCACGGCCCCATAGTAAAGCCTCCTTCCCAGGTGAGTATTTACTACACTGCCCCTATTTTAACATCCAGAGATGCAAGTCCACCTATCAATCTTTATTATGACTAGAAACAAGCATCCGATGACTTCACAGCAGTGGTTCCTGAGGGACTAGCAATTGCACGTTAGCATTAAGCTAACCACCATATTGAACAAATTATTTTTGTAATGGGATTGGTTTGGCTAGCTATCAAGACTGACAGAGTCAAAGGAGTAGAGAACGTCCACACAGAGTAGTCTGAATATTATTGTATAGGGGTTATATTGTATTGTATCTGCTGTATATTATTTCTACGAAACAGTTTTGATTCAGCATTGGATTAGAATTTGTGCAATATACAGTTAACGGGCATTAATTGTAAATGTCTTTAAAACTTCTCATTTTGCACCATGACCAATAAGAACAGTATTTCACTTCAGTGTATGACTCCACAGATCATATATCTGAAGTTGACTGAAAAAAAATACTTTGATATCACCTGCCCAATAGTTTGGTTTTGTTCAATGTTCAACTTGGAAAGGCACTGTTAAGATTCTATCTGGATATCTTGGTTTCAGGTTATAATCTTAGCTTGCGAAATCTATAGCTTGAGGTCATAAGATCTACAGCCGTGCATCATCTAAAATCTTTTTAACCTAAAGACCAAGCAGAACTGGAGAGGTTATACAAAATATTTGCAGTCCTAACAGTATATCTAAGAATCTCCAATTTCAAAGAATAAATCCAAGACACTTAGTGGGAACTATGTCTGGCCATCAACTCTGACTTTTAATTGGCTAACAAAACACAGGTAACACCAATGATCATGCCCTTTGTGGCAGTGACATCATCTGACTGGATCCTTTCATGAAATTCCTGGCCATAACGGCTTGTTCATCCATCTTCATTATTCCTGGGATTGCCTGCAGCTTCGACTGCAGATGTTTCCATGGCGATGATGTCAGTGGGGTTTTTGTTCAAACTCTGATCTCCTCAGGGTCCACCTGTGAAACAGTGCTCTCGCCCCAATCGAGGCTCGCTTTCCTGTCATACTGTCATTCTCCAATACAAATTCCAGACCCAAATGGTTTCTTTCACTGCAATTTCAGATGAGAAAGAGAGCTAAACGTTGACAGGAAGAGTGGGGCAACCTCGCACTTTCAGGTGTCGGACAGACTTGAAGAAGCTACAGGTGTGATCTTTACCCATGTGGTCATCAAATGCTGTTATCCAAAGCAATGTACATAACTTATGGTTTTAAATTATACTCGGTAATTTGGATCAAGTAAGAAATCCTGTCTGAACACCAACTGGTTGCAAGCCTAGC